AAATATTCAACAAGATCTCAGAATCTTGCAAATAATTCTAGAGTAAAATTGATATTATGCAATGATGATAATTTAATTGATAAAATCAAAGAAGTGCAGAGATTATATCCTGATTCAGATCATGATATTATAAGTATTGAAGATATAACAACTGATGAAAACACAAAAACAGAAATATTTGGTATAAAATTTGAAAGAAAAATTAGGATAGGAAAACTTAGAAAGATTAGAAATTCTCTATATTGATATAATGTTATTTTTTTATTTATTCAGTGTATCATATCAAATGAATTTTTATCTAGGTAATAAATATGTTTAGTCCAAAAACTACAAAACAAATCAATAAACTTGAAGTATTATTAAAAAAGATACTTGAAAATTTAAAAAAAGAAAAAGAATATATTTTTGATAGAAAAGATGAAACTGAAGCAGAAAGAATTATTATTGATTAGGAAATTGATGAAATATTGCAAATTGTAAGACATGAACTTCAACCAGAAATTGAAAAGAGGATTGAACAAGAAACTTTAAAATGTTTAAAGAGAAAGTATCCAGATCAGATTCAAAAGATTAATAAAAAATCAAGAGTTAAAAAAGCAAAAGTTATTATTTTAATAGGTGGAATCGGAGTTGGAAAGACTATATTTGAAGAAAAATTTGCAAAATATCTAGAAGATGAAGGATTTAGAGTATACTGTCCTATTGAGACATCATTGAAAATAAAACGTGAATTAGATTTATTCTATAAAAATATTAAGGGTCGTGCTTTGTTTTTCAACATGTGATCTTAGAAACTTACAAGAAAGAAGTAGAAAAGATAAATCAATTAACTGGTTATGATTATGTGAACTTTGATCGTACACATATTGATACAGAAGTGTTTACTCATCTTAATATCAAAGAACAGGATGCTTTAGATTATTTATAAGAAAGAAGATTATAAATCGATCTTAAAAATATTTTTTTTTTTTTTTTTTTTTTTTATTTTTAAGGTGGCTTACATTGCCGGGCGATTTTTATTAGTTTGATGTACGAG